GGAGAACAAAGGCAGTGCCTGGAATTAGGAAGCAGAAACTTGAACCAGCTTCACCTAATCCTCTCTAATCCACCTTTCTTTCAGAGTTCAAGGTAAAGATCAGCCCTCCACGCCCTGAGGCAGAGAGACAGTCTTCAGACCAAATGCTGATCTTCCAAAATGCTAATGGCCGCTTTGTAAAAACCTGTCTGCGTGATTCTTCCAGGCTATAATGAATTCTCCTAAAATACTTGGCCCATCCAGTTAAGAAAGGAGGGTAAGCCTTGACTAACAAGAGTCACCTTTGTGAAGAATGTTCAGTGGCTGCTCTACTCTTTTTCTTTTCCCTGAAGTGCTGGGGATTGAACCCAGAGGTGCTCTACCACTGTGCACCCCCAGCCCTGTTTATTTCTGGAGACACAGCCTCATTACGTTGCTGAGGCTGGCCTGGGCCTTGGGATCCTCCGCCTTGGGTGTGTGCTGGCTGCTCTCTGGCTGGTGTGGATGGCCTACTTGCATCTGGACCCTTCTCTAAGAGCTGTGGATGCTAAGCCAGGGGCAGCAGCCTAATATGCCGAGAGGACTTCAGTTTCCAGCCTTTGGGATGTATTCTTCTGGCTCATTCCAGAGGGTGAGTCATTAATTTTGAGACACTGCTTAAGTTGCCAACTTTCACGACTCCATCAATTGGGCTGTTGGAGACACATGGGCCATTTGGGAAATGTGCTGATGGCATCCTGCTGGGCCTCTAGGGAATTCCACACTGACTGAAAATAGTTTTCCCTTATACTCCTTCTCCTCTGCTTAGCACTTCCTTTTGCTACTTAAACCCATAGTCCAGATATTCAGGTGGCAAAGGGGATATTTAATAGAGAAATTTCAAAAGTGACTTTTTTTGGTCAATGGCACAGTCAACCTTAAGATATGGAGGAGGAGACCAAACCTGGACTATCACAGGGAAAGATCATCACCTGCATGTTGACCCCTCAGACCCTCTGCCCTCTACCTCGACACCTGCCGGGCCCCTGTGCCCCGGCAGCATGGCTGTCTGCTCTTGAAGGCCTTCTATGTCAGGACACCAGGCCCCCAGTCCCTCCCCTGCAAGGAGCACCTGCCCTGTTACTTCCTTCCCTGCAGACACTTTCGTGGACAGGGAGACAGAAGTGTCTCACCCACGCGCACCTTCTCTTTGCAACAATCAAAGACCACAAACTCTGCTCTGGCCTGGAGTCAGGCGCTCTGCAAATGCCTTACACCTGTGTAAGACAGAAAGCAAACTGTGGGAAGCTGTCCACGCGAATCCTTGATCATGGCTCACGTCCAAGAACCCACGTGAAGCCCCTTAAGGCCCCAGCAGCGTTAGGTGAAGAGTGACATTTCCATTTCTACTTACTGCTTCTAACACAATCCGATTACCGAGTGCAATCTGAAGGAAGAGACTGGACGGTACCTCGGGCTTCCCTCTGCACCATCTGTGTTTTTTAAAACCTTTCCTCCTTCATAAACAAGGAACATAACCAGGAAGTCCCCCTACCAGCCACGGCCACCACTGTCTGTACTGTGATAGCCATTTCATGTGCACAGTCTCTTTAACCTCCAAATTACCCCGAGCAACACATGAGCTATCAGAGCTATCAGCCTGGTGGATGACTGCTCCAAGCTCACGCAGTTAATAACAAGGCTCTGAAGTGCTCCTGTCAAGGACATGGCAAGAAGTAGTACAAGAAGCCTTCAGAAACTGAGAGCTAAACGGAAAGCAAAACCACATCTATGTTTATGTTTAAAACTCAATTTACTTACTATACTGTATTGACATGTCAAATGGTGCTGGCCAAAAATGTGGATTTCAATCATGCAGACAAAACCAAATCGATGAAAGCAGTATCTTCAATACCCCTCTGCCATGTTGCTGAGTTGTATCTTCAAATTCACGTATTGCTAAATTCAATCTATTTATTCTTAAGGTGTTACTTACACTAAATGGGGGAATGCTCTGTAGGTTATATTTCTTAGATATGTATACTACACCCTTAAATATGTATACCATGTACTTATTTACATTAAATAACAAATATAATAAAATATAAATATGAATATAGTATGGATATCCAAGATATATATTGTAGTGTATTAAAGTTATTATATATAATTACATATGTGAATATATGTATATCTCTATTTTTTTATTCAGAACTAATGAAGCAAATGAGTTGAAATCAATGCAGGTTTGGTGTCTGAAGACATATGAAGAATTCTAAGTTTCTAATAAGGGGGCCTGTGTGCATCACCCTGGGTTGCAATAGCGAGTTTTATAGCGATGACATTCTCATGAAAAGCTAAATGATACATGACCTCCTCTGTCTCCGAGCGTTACAGTGTGGGCGATGGCCAGCTCACTGCTGCTGGGGTTCTAAAGTGGGCTTCTCAGAGGCAGGGCGCTGGGAGGAGGGCAGGAGGCAGGCAGAAGCTCCCCCCACAATTTCCTCGCATTGTGGCTTCCTCAACAGTAAGAGGTCATGTTTGGCCGTTTAACAGGAAACCTCCTGAAGGTAATTTATATTTGTCAACAATGAAGTGTTAAAGAAATAAAATACATGGTCTGTCTGTTGCTGTTCTTTTTTTTTTTTTT